ATATCAAGCAACAATGTTTTACTTGACTTGGTATTTGAAGCTCACATTTCAGATTTTGGCACGGCTAAACTTCTCAATCCAAACTCATCTAATTGGACCGATCTTGCTGGAACATATGGATATTTCGCACCAGGTGACGTAGTTCATAGTTGTAATCTATTGTTGCCTGAAAGGCTGAGCATCATTCTATAATTGACCATTTATCTTTTCCTTTGTAGAGCTTGCCTACACAATGAAGGTAACGGAAAAATGTGACGTTTATAGTTTTGGAGTGTTGGTTCTGGAAGTTATCTTGGGGGAACATCCTGGTGATTTGGTCTCTGTGCTACCATCTTCATCTCTTGAAATTCGGCTTCTAGTGAACGAAGTCGTGGATCAAAGGCTTTTACCTCCAGCACCAGAAGTTCAAGACAAATTGATATCTGTCTTGAACATAGCTTTTACGTGCTTGGCTGTCAATCCACGTTCTAGACCGACCATGTACGCTGTTTCTCAGCTGTTATTCAACTGAATCTTCTCCTTCCAAGGATCATTACGTTGATCCAAAGAAAGCAGGGATCTTACTACAAATCACAAAGGCTTACAGATTGCAACAATAAGACAAAGCTTCTTTTTAGTTTCTCTATACTATCTTTGTTTTTAATGAATTTTTTTCTCTATACTATCACCATAGGATTAGCATTTATGTTCTCTGAATTTCATTTTGTTATAGTTGTGTATGTTTTGGGCATTGCAATAAGAGTGGTTGCGGATCTTTCTGGTTGTTATTAATTCTTGTCTTGTAAAAAGCAGGCAATATGTACAAACACCTAAAATCATTCGAGATCTTTGATGGTGATATTATATAACTCCAATATGAAATCTGTTACACATATAAAATTATAGAGTGGTGCAGGTTAAAAACTTAAACTAATGATTTATTTCTTGTACCAAAAAAATTATGACTGGTTTAGATATATAATTTTTTATCAGTAATATGTGAATTGATTCATGTGATTCATGTCAATTGCTAATGATAAATGGAGCAGTAGGCATGCAAAGACTTGATACGCACGAATCTTATATAATCAGTTTTCAATATTGAAGCCTAAAATCTCCTAGTAAGTTTTCGTAATGCATATTTTGTTTGTTTTAAGGTCATACATGAATCTTGGAATGATTTCATGTTTCCACATCTTTTATTTCAAATCTCATATGACATTTTAAAGTCCACAACTCTGTTTTAGTTTACATATTTACAGAGAGGTTGCTCTGAAATGCAATGGCTTTCGACCCAAAAGAGAGAGAGAAACGAAAATTGGAGTGTCTCGTACGTTAAAGTCTAACAGGGGCAATGACCATTAACAACCAGTTAACTGCTTGACTTTCCACTTGCTAACGTAAATGCAACTTTCGGAAGTCAACCCAGAGTGAAAATGGGTTAGAGACTTCTTCTAGTGAGTTTCGACGTTCTGGAAACTGCAATTAACGTATATATAAACATCAAATCAAGGCTGTTATTTGCATACACACCATTTGTTAATCATGGAAAGGGTAACCTTGTTTGCTTTCGTACTCTTGTATGTTACATTACAATATTCTTCACTTAATGTTGCTTCTGATTGTGTAGCAGAAGCACTGGCACTCCTCAAATAAAAAGCCGGCCTTCAAAACCAAGACCATCCTGTTTTGCTTCCTTGGAATACTTCTTCCAATGCCAATTCTGCAACCAATACTTCCACCCACCTAAAAACAAAAACTGGTCAATGTGCGTGGTTTGGAATCCGTTGGAACATTTTCAATAATAATATCATACATTCCTTTAAAGGACATATTATTTGTTAAGAGTTATGTTTGAAAATTTGTGTATATTTAAATAAATACATATTTGAAATGTTATATCTATACAAATAGACATCTATTTGAATGGTTATGTTTGTACAAAGAGATGTTTATTTTCTTATAAATATATTTCTGATTTTGAAAAGTAAAATAATAATTTTTAGATATAGTGATTTGTGTTAAAATTTTCCTCTATAATTCAAATAAATTTCTTATTACCTTTATAAAGTTTTGCTACAGAAATTCTTTATAGAAGAACAATAATCTTGTTATATGCAAGTAAATATTCAGCGGATTAATTTCATTAATACAAAATGCAACCAATCATTAGGCTTCATTGTTTTTTTTAGGATTATTGATAGTAACTTTTGTATACTAATTAATCAAGTGGTGGGGGAATAAAACTCTAAGAAAAATCGTACTGTTACATGTTTTGAAGCCATTTTCATTCATGGTTGCACTACAAGAGAATTACTAGAAAACTACAAGAAGATCACAACAAATTTGTAGTGCGTAATGTTTTTAACCTTGTGTTTTTTTTCTCTAACAATCTTAAGGTTTTATTTTCGCAATTCGATGAAAAATTTTGAATGAAGGTCGTGTGTGATAGACAAAGTGTACAGAATTCAAGAGTTCCAAGGAATGGATACAAAATTGGGCGCTCTCTCAAAGTTCTTGGCTTTGCCATGTCCAAGTTCGATTTGAATTACCAAAATTAGCATAATTCTGAATTGAATAATCCAACTATGATGAATCTTTAGAGGATTCCGTGAAAAAAAAGCGGGTATGGACAGAAATCGTTCTTAAATTGCATGTGAAACATGCCTGTGTAAGGCTATCTCAAAGCAATTGCACTTCCCATGTCATATCCTTATTTGTTTGTTAAGAGGGCTGCATATGCTAATAGTTTAAAATGTGGTACATCCCACATTGAATAGAAAGATTTAATTATTGATGAATAAAATTAAATTTTATATTAATTTTATTTATATTTTAAATAATTATGATTGAACAGAAATAATTATTATATGACAAATGATCATAACTATTTAAATATAAATAGGTTGTTATTCATAAAGGTCATGATTATATAGAAGGTCATAACCATCTGAATAAAAATTTATGTCTGTTTATTCATTATAAATAAATCTTTCAATATAACTATTTTCACTATTTCTAATTAAAGAGGCTTTGTTGTATCTTAAAGGTATAATTGCCTTTAAAAAAAGTGTTCTTTATGCCTCAAAGCCAAAATTCTTATCTATTATTTCTTTTCTCTTGTTTATTTTTCTAATAATTTAAAGGCAATTATGAGAAATTTATATTTCGCATGAGAAAGATATAAAGAAAAGAAATTGGCATGTTTTGGAGATCAATATTAGAAAAGTTTTCTTATAAGATAAATTAAATTGATAATATTTTGTACGCCACTCCTAAATCAAATTCTCATGCCTTATATATGAAGTTTTCTCGTTTGTTTTTTGATGGAACTTCTGATTTGCACTTGGCAAATTTCCTTCACATGGTCACGACTATGGTGAAATCTGGTTCTAATGAAGAACACAGAGTTTTTTCATCTTGAACAGCCAAAAGGTGCCAAAACTTCTTGATGAAGAACCTGTTTGGTCCCTTTCTTCTGCACCTTATGAGTTGGAGAATGATGAATTTCTTGGGACTAATTCTGGCACAAAAGCAGAAAATGAGCAATCCACTTCCAAATCCAATATATATATATATAAAACACAAGCGCATGACTTCACAATACAAAAATCCTAGATTACTTCTTTTAGGAGGAGCCCTTGAATTTCTTAAAGTTCCAAATCAGCTGGCATCTTTTAGTACGTTACTTCAATAGGAAAATGATCATCTCAAGATGATCATTGCAAAGATTGAGGCTCTTCGCCTCAATGTTCTGCTGGTAGAAAAGAGTGTGTCCTCATAAGCCCAAGAGTATCTACTTGCAAAGGATATTTCATTAGTGCTGAATGTGAAAAGGCCATTATTGGAGCGTATAGCAAGGTGCAGTGGCGCTCTTGTTTGTCCATCAATTGATAATTTATCTACTACACGATTGGGGCATTGTGAACTTTTCCGGTTGGAGAAAGTATCTGAAGAACGCGAGATGGTCGATCAGTTTAACAAGAAACCATCAAAAACACTGATGTTCTTTGAAGGTTGTCCCGGCGTTTAGGTTGCACGGTCCTGCTGAGGGGCAGAACTCGTGAAGAACTAAAGAAGGTTAAACATGTTGTCTAGTATGCTGTTTTTGCAGCCTATCACTTATCCCTTGAAACTTCCTTCCTTGCTGATGAAGGTGCTACTCTGCCTGAGATGAAAGTAAAACGTTCAATTGCTATACGAGAGAAAATGCAGACTGATAATGCGGTTTCAGTTGTAACTGGTTCCCTTTCTCGATCCAGTTTCAACCTGATAGTCAATGCTTCTGCTCAGAATGATGATTCTCTGGCTCTCAATCCAGAGCAAGGAGGATTGGAATCATTGTCTGATCAGTATGATCAAAGTCATTTTTTTTTTTCCTTCATTTGGTGCAGATGCATGCAATGATTTGGAATTGTATTCTTTGGAACAATGCAAGGATTTGAAAATGTCTGCTATGTTGCCATGTGATATTAGAGATTTTCCACGATCTGAATTGCAAGAAACGATGACTGAAGAGGAGAGGCATCCTGGCAAGATTAACGAATTGGCAAAATCTGAAAAGATTGATGACGTTGAAGCTTCCGGCGAATACTTTTCAGCCACCGACACACACCAGAGTATATTGGTTTCTTTTTCAAGCCGCTGAAAGGAACTGAATGTGAACGTTCACGGCTCCTGAGAATAAAGTTTTATGGCTCAGAAAAGCATAAGTATAATGGTTCTGGACACATTGATTCACATATTAGCAGTGATGTTCCAGTTGAGATGGACACCAATATGCCCATGGGAGAAAATATGGCAACAACCTCAACAGTTCTAATTTTGCCAGGCTCTAAAAGTATGGATCGCCATCATGGCAACACTTGCAATCCAGCTGAGTCCGTTGTGAGAATCGCATTTGATTCTGTTGATTTAAGTTTAGTGTCGGATAACCCTCAGCTGGTTTCATTTGAATTTAGCAAGAGAAATCAGCTTAATACCGAATTTGTTTCATCTAAATTTAGCCAGAGAGATTAGCTTCATACTGGCACACCCAGTGCAGCACAAGCTTTGCTAACTGGGAAATTGGGTGAGCTTGCTGCTTTCAAATACTTTACTGGCACCACGGGTAAAACAGTCAAGTGGATTAACAAAGATAATGAAACTGGGTTACCCTATGATTTAGTGGAAATAATGAAGGTCATATTGAATATATTGAAGTTAAAGCCACCAAATCAGCAAAGAAAAACACCACAGAGAAAACTTCAGCACATCAAGGTCTCCAATCAACTTATCTATGGAGGTACATGGACAATATCCTTACTATAGTTTCTTTGGAAAAGATGTCCATAGTTTTTGTACAGACAGCTTGTCAAATTCTAGTTTACTTAAGTGCTGTGGACTATGTTACCATACAAAGTGCATCTCTAAATTTGAAAGCTCCTCCAAATGCATCCCTAACTAGGAGACCTGGGAACTTTTTTTGCCCAAGCAATAATATCGTGAAATTTTCAAAGTATATTTACTTTGAAAGTCATGAGTGATTTAAAGATTTTGTGAATTTGAAAGCTTTTATAATAGCAAAAAGAATGCTATTTGATCCATTTGGATGATGAAAATGGTTTTATTCATGGTAATAAAATTATTAATAGTGTCTATAACGAAATAGATTCATATAAATATTTATGAATCGACATAAAAGTCTTAAAAGGTAGACTTTAGAAGCATGATTATATTTGAAATATACTTATTGATGTAAACTCTTATGTTGAGTTAAAATATAAAAGTTTTAGAACTTTGATTGAAATATTAAGATATCAGTTAATTAACTTTCACTAAGGGTGGATTTGGAGGCCTTCTACTTAAAAAAAAAATCACCAAATAGTGAAAAGATAAATGAAATGGCAACTTGATTAAGTATATATGATAACTTGATTATTGAATAAGATATTCTTTAATAAAAAAATGCATACTTGCACATGGTGGGGGTAATAAAAAGGGATTAAAAAATTATCACCATAGTGTTGTAAGATTTTAGCGTAATTTTATGAGCAAATTATACAAGCTAATAAGTTTAAACACTTATTAAAGTCATAAAAAGTCCTTAATATATATATATATATTATATATTAAAAGGACTAAAATAGTTTGGTTTATTCATTGAAATTTTTCAATTGTATTAGAAGTATAATTGCATTGAAGATCTATAAAAGTAGGGAAATAGAATGGTTGAAAGTTATGAGTATAGAGTTGTGGCCACAACCAAAACCAACTATTTCTTGCAATGATAAGAATGAGGCAACAATGTCTGAAGCATATAAATGATATGCAAAATGAAAAAAAAAAGTTTGGACATATTAGCTTGAAGTAATTATATTAGAGATTCAATATCAAATGAGGGTAATTACCATAAAAAAAAATTGAATTCCAAAATATTTGGTTAGTAGTACTACAACTAGAATGGATTTAAACCCTTACTATTAGACATCGATAATGGAAACCCAACTTTGAATTAGTAACCTCTAATTACAAAGTTTAATGGGTAAAAACAAGTTATTGTTATGTGTCTGTTAAACACTAGTAAAATCCATTCAAATTTTAGAAACTAGTGTGATCCATTGCGTGGGGAAGATGAGTTTTTCTACTCTTAATGGAGTTTTAAATGTCTAAAGCAATGGAGACATAATAAAAACTCTACCTATATAAACATAGAAGTGGTGTCGCTTTAACAAGAAAAATTAGGGTCTCTCTTGTAAATGTTTATGAATAGGATAAGCATATGGCCATAATAGTGCTAAAAGTGGTTATAAACCTCTGACAGAAGAATAAATAAGTATTATATGTGTTATATCTTCAATTCTAACATTAGGAGTTGAGATTTAATCTGTAAACACCATCAACTTCGTTAGAATTATAAGATATATAACCTAATTGAAGGTTTAAATTGAGAGATACCTTCTTGTATTCATAATATTTATTTGTGTGAAAGTTAAAAAAAAAAAATTAAGCACCAACATTCTAAACTAGTGGGAGATTATTGGTAGTTTAGAATGTGGTGCATCCCACATTGGATAGAAAGATTTAATTATTGATGAATAAAATTAATTTTTGTATTAATTTTATTTATATTTTAAATAATTATGATTGAACAAAAACAATTATTATATGACAAATGATCATAACTATTTAAATATAAATAGGTTGTTATTCATAAAAGTCATGATTATATAGAAGGTCATAACCATCTAAATAGAAGTTTATGTCTGTTCATTCATTATAAATAAATATTTCAGTATAACTATTTTCACTACTTCTGATTGGAGAGTTTGAGGCTTTGTTGTATCTTGAAGGCAGAATTGCTTTTAAGAAAGTATTTTTCACACCTCAAAGCCAAAATTCTTATCTATTATTTCTTTTCTCTTGTTTATTTTTCTAACGGCATATATACAAAAAAATTTTTCAGGCCTAATTGCCATGCACTATACAAATTCAAAAAGTGTTTTTTATACTTGCAAAGCACATGGTCCAATAAAAAGGAATGTACTTTCAAGTTTCTATTGAGGAACAAAGTTTGTGTCACAATTGAGAATTGTGCCATGAAAAGTGCATCGATAAAACTGCTATGGCTAGTAGTGGGATTTGCAGCGATGTTGGCATGTTGCCATGGTTGCTACCTGGCATTAAGGTATTTTGGATGCTGATATTTGTTAAAACCAAGTGGAAATGGCAAACAATACACCTTCGTAACCACTACTCTATGGGGCTTCCCTTGCCCCCACAATCGCCACCCATGTCGCCACGGTCCCATAGCTGACACATCATCCTACCTTTTTCATTACATAAATAATGCCACTTTTCTTTCTAGACTTTTTTTTTTTTTGTTAAGTAGACTCTTTTTCATATCATTATTGATTTGGAAGCCTTTGACAAAAGAAAATTGGGTTTTTCAATTAAAATTAATAGGTACGCCATTTATTTTTTGCATCATTCTAAATAAGGATATTAACTTAATATAATAGATACATTTATCGAAGTATATGCAAATCAATTGCTTTGCCTACTTGAAGTAAATTTAATAGATTTTAATGCAATATGTTTCCACACATTCAATGAAATTGGTTTGAAATTGGGTTAAAATTTTTTTTATTCTTTAATGGAATGATATTGCCGTTAGTTGCATACAGAATACACATGGATTTATTATTTTGGTTCCATGATTTTCATGAAAACCCATTGGCCACTGATGAAAGAAATGTTAATGAAAGTGTGTATGTGGAGTAGATGATTAAAACTTATAAAATAAATCTTCTTAAAGTACTAATCAACAAATTTATTGATGTATGTAAGAAAAATAATTTCACTTTAAAATATCATCGCATGAAAATTGAAATACTTGTATATTTAGATAATAGGTTATTCTAATATTTATTTAAAATTTTGTAATGGCCATGATATGTATATTGTGAAGTGCATAAATTTATATTTATATATATATATATATATATATCTTTACATCATCACTAATAGTTATTATCAATCAATCAAAATGTCAACATGCAAGCAAATTAACAATCATGTCAATCAATTTAAAGGATAAAATTTAAATTGAAATTATTAAATCTAAAAGTATAAGTACTAATTTCCTTTGAATTATAATATAAATACTAAATTTCTAAAATTCGAAAAACACAGGGATTTGTGGCATATTTTGGCCTATATTTTCAAATCCATACATGATATTTGTCAATTTTAAATCATATATCTTTTGTATTATTTTTCCTATCATAACATTGTATCGTAATTAATAAATTATTAAATATATCATCTATATATAAAAGTGTGAATTCTAAAAGTATTAATAGTGATTGATTTAAATATCCTTATAAAATTTTAAATTAACAAATTTATCCTTAAATATATATAACTTTTATTAATTTATTTAAATTTAATCTAAATCAACTAAAATTAAAAATAAAGATTATGTGAAATTAAACCATTTAAAATTTTAATTCTAAAAGTGTTAAAAGTGATTGTCTAAAATTTCTTTGGTAAATATTTTTATAAAATTTAATTTAAATGAATATTTTTATTACTAGAATTTTTTTATTTAAACTAAAAAAGTACTAAAAGTGATTGATTAAAATATCCTTAATAAGATTTTAATTTAAAAATGTTAAAAATAATTGATTAAAATGCCATTAGTAAATTTTTAATAAATTTTAATTTAAATAACTTTTTTGTATTAAACTCTTTTTTATAATTAGAATGATTTTTCACATTAAATAATCTAAGTAGTTGAATGATCTAACGTGAATTATTTTAAGTAAAACATTATCAAATGAAGTAAAATTAATTATTTATGGAGAATTCTTTCAAGACATGACAAAATTCATTGGAACTATTTTTTGAATGTGTTTATACCAAAATTATATTCATTTATAAAAATTTTTGTTGTTAATATTGAAAATGAAATCATTTTAAATTGTATAGATTTACATAACAAGTTTGATAGTTTTAGAATTGAAATTTTCTTAAGAAAACATGACAACTACCAAGGTAAGGAATTTATTTTATTTTATTTTTAAAATTATGTATTTTAATATTTTATACAATAAAAAATTTTGTATAATAAACTTTTTTTTTAAAAAAAAGAGCAATTAAACTTTCAATTGATAGAATGTACAATTACATTCAACTGATGAAAGCATTAATGGAAGATTATTATTCTAAGCAAAAAAATGAGATGAAAGATTGATTGATTATATATAACTCTATCATCTTTATATGACAAAGGTGATTAGTATTGTATAATATTTGAATGAAAAATATACAAATGCATTGATTTCAAATTTCTTTAGGATGAATAAGAAACATATTTTATTTGGAGAAACATTGTATACTCATTTATTTCCATCATTTGAAAAATATTCCCTGTTGTATAAAAGTTTTAAGGTTATCATATTAGGTAATATTTGCTCAAAAGAACTGAAATTCATCAAATTAATTATGACTTTACATCTAAAATAAAAAACTTTTATTATAAATTATAATTTAACTAAACTTAAAAGTGATTTAAAGGTATTTATTAGCAAAATTCATTTCATAAATCTTTATTTAATTTTGTATTTAATATTTCAACCATTTTAAAATTTGATTATTTAGAATTTTCAGTTAG